TTAAATTCTACCAATGGTTGTAATAACCTGGGGCTTTGGTTTGATGAGGAGCTAAGATCTACCAAGCATGTAAACAATCTGTGTCGATCATCGTATAATACCTAAAAGCAACTTTATCCCCATCGTGCCATCATGGATTCATCTCTAAAAATTAGTATATGTAATTCTTTAATATTTTCAAAGCTCTCATACTGTGACTGTATCTATGGCCCGGCTCTACTACACTCCGATATTCAGCGTTTGCAGCGAATTCAAAATAGTTGTTTTACATATGCAAATAGAAAAAGAAAACGAGGAATTACTGAGTTAATTAAGAAACATAATTTTCTTAATCTTTCGTACTCTCGTAAATTGCACTCTTTATGTTTAACTCATAAATTTCTTCAGCGAAAATGCCCTGTATATATATACAGGGTGAGTCAGAAAGAATGGGTCAACATTAAACTGGAGATACTAGACACCAAAATATTATGTTTGAGCTCATCATGCCTTATACGAATGTCGCTGGTTTAAGAAATACAGGGTGTTCAAGGTTTCAATTTTATTCTGAAATTTCTCAATAACTGAGAAAGTTTTGATAACATGACTGAAACTTGATAGTGTTGGGTATTTTGGTGTGAGAATTACGAATTTGAAGCTTATTTTGACGTTGCTCCTAGAGGGCGCTAGTTTCATCATATTAATAGGTAAATCAGAACATATTTTTTTATCTGTTGAGCTATGCTTTAAAAAAGTTAAAAATCTAAAAGATCGTTTAATTCTACATAAAAAATTATAAGTTATTTGCATTTAAAAGTTTCAATGTGTTTTGTGGTGATTTTCTTTCAGGCGCTGATATTGCTATTTCTTTTCTAAGTAGGTTTGTATCAAATTTTCATGTCAATAAATATGAATGTATTTTGCGTGCATATGATTTATTATTCGTGCAAAATTATTAGCTAGTGATCAAAAAATGCCATGACATAATAATTTTTCCAACAGTGAGATGAATGATATGATTTGTGTTTTTTGCTCAGGCTAATTTTAATGAACATGCACTACCAATTTTCAGTCATGCTATCAAATCTTTCTTAATTATTGAGAAATTTCAAAATAAAATTTAAACTTTGAACACCCTGTATTTCTTAAACCAGCAACATTCGTATAAAGCATGATGAGCTCAAACATAATACTTTATTGTCTAGTATCTCCAGTTTACTGTTGACCCATTCTTTCTGACTCACCCTGTATATACAGGATGATTCAGTCATAATGTCATTAATTTTAAGAGCAGATAGAGAAAAATGAGTATAATACGATGGCGTGATTAAAAAAAAATTAAATGCATATTTAAGCTGAAAAAAATTTTTTCAAATCATTATTAACTTTTGAACTACAGGGTGCTAAAGTTTTATGAAAAAACATATTTTTATGAAAACTTTGGTATTGCCTACCCTAGATATTTTTTCAAATTTGGTACACGCCTTCTATTCATCGAGATGCATTTTCCGATATACAAACAATTTTATTATTTTTACCAGTGGCGTCTGTACAGGTTTTGTATTGAATATTTTTGAAGAAAAATATGTTACGCCACTGCTTTTTCTTAAAGTAAAAACCATTTTTGAAATCCTCATTCCTTTCTGAGCAAATATGATATCTTGAATTTTTTTCGTTTGACGCACGGTTTTCGCATAAAAAAATAAAATTCATTCATTTGCATCTTATTTGACCACTTACGAGAAAAAAAATATTTATGTAACTTTGAAAAATAATTTATTTAAGATAATAACTTTTAAACGTTGAAATTATGAAATTACAGTAATTTACATACATTTTGGAATGGTAAAAGAAAATTACCCTGACATAACATATTTTTCTTCAAAAATATTCAATACAAAACCTGTACAGACGCCATTGGCAAAAATAATAAAATAGTTTGTACATCAGAAAATGCATCTCGATGAATAGAAGGCGAGTACCAAATTTGAAAAAATATCTAGGGTAATACCAGTTATAAAAAAAAATTTTTTCATAAAAACTTTAGCACCCTGTAGTTCAAAAGTTAAGACTTTTATGACATATGTTCATATGAAGTTTTTTTCTTAAAATGGACCCAAGAATAACCTCCTTAAATATTAGCATGTTATTAAGAAACACCCTGTATATAACTATATACAGGGTGAGTCAGTTTTTTGTATACAAACTTTAACAGGAGATAGAACACATATTTTTAAAAAGAAAAATTTCAATTGTCAAAAAAAATTCTTTATAAAAATTTTTGCTTGTTCAGAAACCCTTGACAAGATAGTCATTTGTTCAGTTTAATGTACAGGATGTTCAAAAATTTGGAAAAGGTAAAAACAGTGAAGAGTAAAGTACCTTAAATCTTAACGCTACGTGAAAAAGTAATGGGGAAAAGTTGCTTGGAGTTAAATTTTATGATTAAATATGAAAGCATGGCCTTCTAATTAATACTCGACATTCTGGGATATTCTAGAACTCTACTTATTTTTTAATACTTTCGAAGAAGCCATTCTAGTTAAAAAATATTGCTTTATTGAAAAACAGATACACATGTTTGCATATTAATAATTTATTTTTTATACAGGAGGATCAAAAACCTCAAAAACATTAATCCAACATTTATTTTGAGAACACGGCAAAATCTGTATGTACGCGTCACTACAAAACTATTCTACATGAAGTCCGCCAAGTTCAATAAACCTCTCCAATCTTTTTCTAAATGCAGCGTAGGTCGAATGTATCATTTCTTCATTCACTTGGGCAGCAGCTTCAATTATCCTACTTTTCAAGAAATCAACATTGTGTTGCACTGGTTCTCTGTACACTCTTTCTTTCAAGAAGCCCCAAAGGAAATAATCAAGCGGCGACAAGTCTGGGGACTTTGCTGGCCAACAAATAGGACCATATCTTCCTATCCACTTCTCTCGAAATTTTCTGTTAAGCCAGTTGCCGACTAGAATTGTTGAGTGAGCGGGACATCCATCTTGTTGGAAATACGCTTTTTGTCTATATTCCAAATGTTCTTCTAATTCTGGCCAGAAAAACGTGTCTAGCATCTCCAGGTACGTATATTGATTTAAATTTGCTAGTTGAGGTTTTTGATCCCCCTGTATAAAAAATAAATTCTTAATATGCAAACATGTGTATCTGTTTTTCAATAAAGCAATATTTTCTTAAGTAATTATGAAAATATGGCGTCTAAAAACAAAATCCTGTCATGGCAACCATATTAAAATTAAGATTCCTAGGCACCTCTGATCTATACATTGACTGATTATATCGTTTTCCATTTATGCATCGTTCAGATGACATTTTGACATTAAACATTTAATACCTCAAAAACTCCGAACTTTGGGTATAGGGAAGTGTACATAAAAATGATTCGAAATTGCTTGTAGAATACAAATTCTCAATTAGTTGGAGGGCATTCCATAAAAATTACTGCAGTTACTTGCTATTAAAGATGACTTCCGGTATTTTCCGGATGTGCTGGAAGTGCGACACTTTTATGATATCAGACTTTAGTACTTCTAAAATAAGTTAAAGATACCATATGACTTTGTCCCTTTCTTCGTTTGTTTTCTTTCAAAAGGAATTTATAAATGACACATTTGACATTTTAAAATGCGATTTTCTCGGAAACTGTCAAAGATAGGTATAGGACATAATACATATTTTAGTGTTAGTTTCTTCAGCAGAATTGAAAACAAAAATAATATACAGGGTGTTCCATATGAAATAATAAAGTTTAGGGCATTTCCGGTCAAACAGGAAGTGACGGTCAGTTGTTTTTATGATTAAATTTTGCATCAAATTCAATGATACGCATGCTCAAAATTTGAAATCGATATCTTTTTTCGTGACTAAGCTATACGACGCCATGTTGTCTTCTCTATTACCATTGAACACTGAACTCAAGAGTACATCACGGATCACACAATAACAGAGCTGTAACACATATTAATAACGACTAATATTTTTTCTTTTAGCCTAAAATGGATGCAAACTAACCCTCATGTTCACCCCCAAAAATAATATTTCCGTGATAACTCGTTTTGTTTTTTCATTGTTTATAAAATGATGTCAAAATAAGTAAAATCCTGTTTTTCTAAATATTTCGAAAACGATTTAAGATATTATACTGAGCTTTGATGTATAGTACAGTGGCAGTGTAATATCTTAAATCGTTTTCGAGATATTTAGAAAAAACCGCATTTTAAATTTCTTTCGACATCTATCTCAGAATGGAAACATTTCTGGACCCATAATGTCATGAACTTATTTACTTATTTTCACTTCCAGAACACGTCCTTAAAATATTTCCCTTTCCTCCCGAAACTGTTATAATAAAACTGTAGTTTACAATATTTTTTTATTTTGTTGCTTTCATGACCTACCTACTTTCTTTCTGCAGAATATTACACAAATTTTTATTTCAAAATATTAATTCTCTCAGGGACAAGAAAAATAATGTGGCAAGACAAAATAATTTCAAAACCTGTAAACTCTTCTCTTTTTATAATGCATATACTTCAGGCCTGCAATTTTTTGTTGTGTCGTTACACACGTGCCTACACAAAAAAAATATGACACGCCTCTAATTATTGATGCCTCCCAAAATTCCTATTAATAGTCCACCGGCTCGTCCCTTTAAAAGTAGTATGCCTTTTAGGTTGGAAACCTTTATCTTGCGTCTAGTGTACAAAGCCATAGAACTTCAACTCGATTCACGAGATAACCGCCGAGGTAATTCTCGCCCGGCGAAGACCTCCGTTGAGGTATCCTAGAGCCAAGTGCTCACAGCTCGCTTCGCCCGACGAAGCCCTCTATTTAAGGAAGAATCAGAGCCAAGTGCTCCCATATCTCGTATTACAAGATACCGTCCGAGACTGACCATCTCCGGCGAAGACCCTCTCTCGATAGTACCGGCTCCCTTGAAACCCGTACATCGAGACAGCGGTAGGCATAGGCTCCGTTGAGACCTACACATACAGGCTCCGTTGAGTCCTCTACAATCGAGGCAACCTCCCTCGGCCAAACCTCTTTCGGGGTCCCTCGTCGAGGCAGTCCTACCTCGCCATTCAGCGACAGACTACGGACACTCCGTAGCTCGATTGCATATGACAAGGTTACCAACCAACACCATCCGGTGGTGTCCGAGATTGGCAAACCGCAACATAGCGTTCAACGTGAGAGTAGAACTCCATGGATGACACCTTCTGCCATCAATGTCCCACGTTCCGACGCCGTGGAGCAGGAATCCTGTCGAGGAGAGATTAGTATACGGCATGGCGCCCAACGTGGGGCTCGAACTCTAAGCGAGGCACATTCCGGTGTCATAGAGCATGAAGCCGCCGACAGCGACCAACGTGTATTACAACATCTGCTAATTTGCCGTTTCCACTCCAGTATAAACATTCCCCGTTTTTGTTCAGTTTAATATGGACAGTCCCCGTACTTGTTCAGTTTGATATGGACATTTCCGGTTTTTCCCCGACATACATATATCATAAATGCGTATAACTCTGGATTATAACACTAGATAAAAGACAGCAGACTCGTCCGCCATTTTGGAGCCCACTTCGTTATGTCATCATAATCAAATGATATATCGTAAACCCGCTAGTGAACGGTTGTCAGCGGTTGTCCTACGGTTTCAATTAGAATTTTGTGTTAAAAATGAATTGGTATATATACTGTATCAATAATAATTTATTCCTGGTGTCGCGTAATCAAATATACAATCCCTCCTTGAGCATTTTATTAATTTATTCTTGGTGTCGAATATGCGTAGTCAAATATACAATCCCTCCTTGAACATTTTATTAATTTATTCCTGGTGTCGAATATGCGTAATCAAATACAGGATGGTCCGAATTTTATGCAGGAAACTTCGAGGGTAGATAGATTTCTTTAAAATAATATGTGTTTGCCTTATAAACGTAGGTCTGGAACGGCCCCGTTTTAGAGATACAGGATGTTGAGGTTTTAAAAAAAATTGAGTTTTTGTTTATATCGCACACTACCTCACAGGTGGTGTAGAAAGGAGTGTAAATAATTTTGTTGATGTGCTTACAAATTGCACTTAATTTTAAACATAAACAAATATTCTTGTAATATTATCGTTAGAAGTGTCTGCCACAAGGGGACTGTATTAATATGAATAACTTGAGAACGGCGAATCTTAGGGAAAAAATTAAAGTCACCCTTTTTACGTATTTTGTGCATTAAAATATAAATCAGTTACAATGACATGTAAAAAATGCAGTGGCGTAGGTTTTTTTGTAAGAAAGGGGGTGACCCCCGTCCAGTTGTACACCACTGGTTGAACCTTTAAAGCTCATATTTCAAGGAATATAAGGCCTACTATCATACATTATATGTACCAAATTTTATTGAGATCGGTTAATAGATTCCGGAGATATAAACAAAAAATCAATCCTGTATCTCTAAAACGGTGCCGTTCCAGACCTATATTTATAAAGCAAACACATATATATTTTAAAGAGATCTATATGTCCTCAAATTTTCCTGCATAAAATTCGAACCACCCTGTATACAATCCCTCCTTGAACATTTTCATGAGTTATATTTTTGATATGATTTGAAAAATGTTAAAAAATGGCAAAACGATAAACATACAGGTAACATCATCGTAACCCTCACGTTCACATCTTTTTTATAACTAAATAATTAGGTACATTTTGTTTTGTAATTCATAAAATGTGTACACACTGTACCTATACTTAACTACGATGTAGTAATATTCTGGTGTATATTTTATTTGAATATTCAGAAAAATTTGACTTGAATGTCGAGGCATTATCTGGTTTTGTAATAATGAGGAATCATTTGTGCTTGCGTTTACAACATGGGCTCGCGGTGGAGACATCGAAGTTGATAATAGAGCCCCACGTTGGGCGCCATGTCGTAACAATATCTGGTTCGTTTCGGGGTTTTCGCATTCTATGCCGCCGGAACGTGAGGAGTAGGTGGCGGTCGATGCGCCCCCCGGAGTTCGAGCCCCACGTTGGGCGCCATGTTGTAGTAATGCTGATTGTTCTGGGTCGTCCGGGCCGATAGTTCCACGATCCGTAGCACCCGAGTTCGGGGAGTGGGTGGCAGAAGGTGCCATCCACGGAGTTCTAACCCCAAGCTCGGAGCAGGTCACGCACCGTGGTCGGACACATGGGATTCCCCTGACCCTTCCAGATGGTATTAGGGATTAACCGCGCCGCAACTGATTATAGGTGGTCCATATCGTGGTAACTCGTGTATTTTATCTGGCACTATGGGTGCGCCCTGAGGGGTGCTCGAGACGGTATCTATAACTCTCGTAGCAGCGGACCTCAGCGGATAGGTCACTGTGTCCGAGGAAGGTTGCCTCGATTATACAGGGCTCAATGGAGCCTGTATGGTAGGTCTCAATAGAGCCTATGTGTACCGCTGTGCGTTGCAGGGTCTCAACGGAGCCGATGCCATCGGACAGAGTCTTCGTCGGAGGTGGTCAGCCTCGGACGGTATGGCAGGTCTCAAAAGAGCTTGAATGCACCTCGATTGCGATGCGGGGTCTCGACGGGGTCTGGCGATCGAATCGGGTCTTCCTCTTGTCAGGCAAAAGGCACCACGACGGACCGACTCGTAAATGAGTAGGAGCAGGTCCTCGTCTGAGGTAAGCAGCCTCAACGGTACTCGAGAAGCGAGTTTGTGAGCTGAGGGCTCCAAAGATTTTGAATCTGTTGTACAGGTTTTCTTACATCAGAAACTCGGGGGCACGTTCTAAAAGAACTTTATTCAGCAAGATACAATGTTTGAGTAGTATAGAGTAATTGTTTGCGTGTATATATGAATGCATCTTCTCTCGGGAATATGTTCCATAGACCTACATGTGTATATGGCATGCTACCTAGGAAGTCGTGGAGCTTTGAAAAATCCTGGAGGGCGCTCGTACCTGGGAATACGACATGAAGCTTTAAATAAACAAACAGTGTAAAATCGGCGATTACGAGTCAGCTACCTTTTATGTAGTGCCGTGCTCTGGACTATAACACGTTTTTGTTTGTAGGTTCCGTGGCTGTCGTTAATGGTTGAATGATTTCCGGTAGGGATGGCTGATCCGAAGAATTTTACGGATCAGTTCCATCCAGTCCAGTTCCAAAAAAATATCTGTTCCAAAGATCAGTTTCAGTTCCTAGTATCCAGTCCGAATGTTTAATGCTTGCGATAGCATTGAATGAGTCCGGCGGGACTAGGTTTGCTTTTCAACACATGAGCTGGACTGCACCCGAAAATGGGAACTACTGAACTTGGTGCAGAGGTACGTACAACATAGAATTAAGCAGTCCCAGTTCCCGGAAGGGAGGTAAATATTTCGCAATATTTAAGAATAGTCCAGCTTTAATAGTTGGGTATTACGTTTCGTGTCAATTTAATAATTTAAAATATGTCGAAAAAAAAACAAAAATCTAAATGCAATGCTTGCATACAAAAATTGTGTTATAAACACTCATATTGTCTAATTAAAAAAACATTTCATTAGGAAGCATCGCTACTATTAAATAATAATAATAATAATAATAATAATAATAATAATAATGATAATGATAATGATAATGATAATGATAATGATAATGATAATGTTAATGATAATGATAATAATA